ACCATCCTATCTGTTAATATGAAATAGCTGTGGTACCAACTAGGAACCAGCACTTCGTGGTCTACTGTAATACCATCCTATCTGTTAATATGAAATAGCTGTGGTACCAACTAGGAACCAGCACTTCGTGGTCTACTGTAATACCATCCTATCTGTTAATATGAAATAGCTGTGGTACCAACTAGGAACCAGCACTTCGTGGTCTACTGTAATACCATCCTATCTGTTAATATGAAATAGCTGTGGTACCAACTAGGAACCAGCACTTCGTGGTCTACTGTAATACCATCCTATCTGTTAATATGAAATAGCTGTGGTACCAACTAGGAACCAGCACTTCGTGGTCTACTGTAATACCATCCTATCTGTTAATATGAAATAGCTGTGGTACCAACTAGGAACCAGCACTTCGTGGTCTACTGTAATACCATCCTATCTGTTAATATGAAATAGCTGTGGTACCAACTAGGAACCAGCACTTCGTGGTCTACTGTAATACCATCCTATCTGTTAATATGAAATAGCTGTGGTACCAACTAGGAACCAGCACTTCGTGGTCTACTGTAATACCATCCTATCTGTTAATATGAAATAGCTGTGGTACCAACTAGGAACCAGCACTTCGTGGTCTACTGTAATACCATCCTATCTGTTAATATGAAATAGCTGTGGTACCAACTAGGAACCAGCACTTCGTGGTCTACTGTAATACCATCCTATCTGTTAATATGAAATAGCTGTGGTACCAACTAGGAACCAGCACTTCGTGGTCTACTGTAATACCATCCTATCTGTTAATATGAAATAGCTGTGGTACCAACTAGGAACCAGCACTTCGTGGTCTACTGTAATACCATCCTATCTGTTAATATGAAATAGCTGTGGTACCAACTAGGAACCAGCACTTCGTGGTCTACTGTAATACCATCCTATCTGTTAATATGAAATAGCTGTGGTACCAACTAGGAACCAGCACTTCGTGGTCTACTGTAATACCATCCTATCTGTTAATATGAAGTAGCTGTGGTACCAACTAGGAACCAGCACTTCGTGGTCTACTGTAATACCATCCTATCTGTTAATATGAAATAGCTGTGGTACCAACTAGGAACCAGCACTTCGTGGTCTACTGTAATACCATCCTATCTGTTAATATGAAATAGCTGTGGTACCAACTAGGAACCAGCACTTCGTGGTCTACTGTAATACCATCCTATCTGTTAATATGAAATAGCTGTGGTACCAACTAGGAACCAGCACTTCGTGGTCTACTGTAATACCATCCTATCTGTTAATATGAAATAGCTGTGGTACCAACTAGGAACCAGCACTTCGTGGTCTACTGTAATACCATCCTATCTGTTAATATGAAATAGCTGTGGTACCAACTAGGAACCAGCACTTCGTGGTCTACTGTAATACCATCCTATCTGTTAATATGAAATAGCTGTGGTACCAACTAGGAACCAGCACTTCGTGGTCTACTGTAATACCATCCTATCTGTTAATATGAAATAGCTGTGGTACCAACTAGGAACCAGCACTTCGTGGTCTACTGTAATACCATCCTATCTGTTAATATGAAATAGCTGTGGTACCAACTAGGAACCAGCACTTCGTGGTCTACTGTAATACCATCCTATCTGTTAATATGAAATAGCTGTGGTACCAACTAGGAACCAGCACTTCGTGGTCTACTGTAATACCATCCTATCTGTTAATATGAAATAGCTGTGGTACCAACTAGGAACCAGCACTTCGTGGTCTACTGTAATACCATCCTATCTGTTAATATGAAATAGCTGTGGTACCAACTAGGAACCAGCACTTCGTGGTCTACTGTAATACCATCCTATCTGTTAATATGAAATAGCTGTGGTACCAACTAGGAACCAGCACTTCGTGGTCTACTGTAATACTCACAATGTTGCGTAGATAGATAAGTGAGACTTTACACATCTTACTATATATAAAGCGAGACGATATATATATATATATATATTTATTTATCCGCACCATTTTACTGACACCACGGCATCAACTTTAACACGGGTTTCCGCAAAAACCGTACAAGATATAAAACTGAAACTTTTTTAACTGATTCAAATGCTTTAATGGCCTTCAAATCAGCATGAAAAAATCGAAAATCGGCCAAGGAATAATAATTTTAGTACCCAAATTTTGGACCCCCAAGTGGTGTCAAAAACGCGAAATTAATAGGTAAATATTATATTTTACTGGGAGACTTTAGGGTAGGAAACTGATCCGGCCACCAAAGAGCCTTGACACCAGTCTTAAAGGTTTGACGGGTTCCTGCTAGTTTTTACAAAGTGTCCAAGGGTGGGAATATCAAGATCTGGAAAACAGTTTTACATGTGAAATACCAGAGGTAATTCTACTTAATAAATAGACTCTGGTTTCCTTTGCGGTGTTCTGCAATGTTTACAACACTTGGTTAACACTGAACACTAATAGTCCCTCAAGAGCCTCTGTTATAAGCATGCAATATCACGTGATCACAACGTCACGTGATCACAACGTCACGTGATCACAACGTCACGTGATCACAACGTCACGTGATCACAACGTCACGTGATCACAACGGTGCAACATTTTGCAACAATTTGTCAGATATTCGATACGCTGTGGCTATGTGGCGCAGTTCGTTAGTCAGCTTGCTTGTGAAATGCCTCGCATTCACAGGGTCCCAGATTCGATTCCCGTCTGTGCCGCTAGCCATGGGGTGAGCGTCGTTGACGCTCTGCTAAGGGTACCGTTGGACCTATGCAGCCCCCCGGTCTACTCAGCCGAATGCTCGAGAAATCGTGTGTGAGGGTTAAATGAGGAGCTGTACATGATCAATACAGCGAAGCTTCGGGCGAAGAAAGTGTGGTATAATACCTTAACCGTCGCTGGCGTTAGACTTGATCCTTCGGTTTCCTGTAAGTGCCGGTTACATGCCGTGACTATAAAGCCATGGTTGTCCGAAGTAAAGCATAAGGGTGGTCATTTCAGTTGATGGCCCTGCTGCAGCGCAGCTAAAGCATCACATAAGTAACATAAGTAAGTAACGCTCGGAAAACTGTGTCAGCTATTTAAGAAGCTTGTGTCACGCACAGATTTACTTTAGTATCCATTAACCGTTGGGTAACAATGGGTGCCACCTCCGCAGGCATTTCTCCTACCTCCGCAGGCATCTCGGTACCGAAAATAAACACTGACGTAAACTAAGTATATAAATCTGTTTTGACACGTGACTAGGACTCTGGTCGATAGTGAAAGCTGATTGGTTAATTCCTGTCACGTGCCTGAAAAAAACATGGGTGCAACCACTTGACCACTGAAAATAAACCCTTACGTTACCCAAGTTTATAGTGCTCACACAGCCGTGCAATGTAATAATAATTAGGTAATACCCGATAATCGAGTATAGATTAATTAACATATCTATGACACACTCCCAGCTTTACTATATTTAGATTTAGCGTCCACAAGTACAGCGTTCAGTGAGAAATGAGAAGTAGAGAGAGAGGAGGAGTACATGTTATTATTCTCGTTCTTGTGCTGTTTTTAGTGTGTTTAGCTTGATTATTCATTAGTGTGATAAGTTGATAGACCACGCCCTCTTCTACAGCTATCACAAGTCTTGTCAAGGTAAGAGGCCCCTACGATTCTGCTTGTGTTTAACCAAAGGTCCCCTTGTGAGACGGCCCCGCCCCTCCCCTCCCTTAGTCTCCGTCCTTAACATTCTGCGGCCTGGCGTCGTCTCTGAACGTCCCCAAGACGCTGCCTCGAGTCGTCGAGTCGGCGCCGCTATCTTTTCCTGTTTTAAACAGTCATTCTGAGGAATCTGAGACAGAAAGTAGTCATGAGATACCCGCTTACATATTATAGTGCAAAACTTTAATATACACGAATAATGAATCTCTATTAAAGTAATAAGGATCAGAGTTATCGCTGTATAACGTTACGTCACGTGACTGTATATTGTATAACGTTACGTGACGATGTAACGTCACGTCACAGTCCCACCACTAAACACATTATTACAGTATATTTTTATGGAGGCGTCAAATTGCCTACAAAAAACAAACACAGTTAAATAGTTTATCCTAAAGTTGCTTGTCACGGTCATGATTAGTTCCCTTACATTGCGTCATCACACTGTTATTCATCTCTCTGCATATGAGATGGTTATATAGCTGTTTACTGTTCAGATGATGTGATGAGATTGTGCCAAGTGGACAAGTTAGTGTCTTTAAATCAATAACAAGACTCCGTCATCCGTGACCCGCAGTACTACTCAACTTAACAGTACTAAAAATATCAAATTATCCTGATAACATAATGTAATATCCCCCTTTATCGGTCCCTAACGGTACTTATATTCCCTTGTATCCGCCATGGTTCAGCCAGACCGTCTCTTTTTGGTCACCGTGACGTCATGACCTGATAAAAACGTCATGACAACATTGGGTTCTGTACTAGTTCGAGTCTGCTAATGAGTTTATTTGAGGAACTGGTCAAGACATGACGAAATTAGATACAGTATCCAAAAATAGGGCAAACTCGGTCATCAAGAGTTATGGCATTGTTTTCTTCCCCCTTTTTAATTGATAAGAGGAACTTGGTTGCCAGGTTACGTTGCTCTGTTTCTTTCTTTGAAAATTTTTGAAATAATAAATTTTCGTATCAATATGTTTCCAGAACCCCCCTTCCGTTTCTTTATTTCTTTTCCTTCGCGTAAGTGCCCAAGTTTGAACTAGCTTCAGAATATATTATGTCCCTCTATTTGCTGGCACATACACTGTATTACACACCGTCTGTTATAAATGCTGCTATTTTACACGTCTCTTGTTTCCCAGTCTAATGTAATCAATAGTTAGGTATTCTTGAATAACCATAGTTTTTACAAAATAAAATGAATTGCATAAATATTATTCTAACTTTTAAAATGATCGCACCTATAACTGCAGTGATTAACACTCTCCACTTTTCAGAAAGTGGCAGTGGGCTATCTGACGACGAGCCTCTTTCTCCGTGAGTTAAACACAAGGATATATTTTCCCATGGTTTTTTAATTACATAAATGAATTTTCATGTTCTGGTATCTAACGGTAGTGGCTTCACTTGTGAACGTCGCTAGTAATGACTTTGAAATTTGATTGAAACGAGGTAGAAATTTCTGCGGAGGTGTTAGAAGTATCCCAAACCACCAACGCTCTATTTGCACTGTATTTGCACTGTATTTGCACTGTATTTGCACTGTATTTGCACTGTATTTGCACTGTATTTGCAGTTGCATTTACGTCAGACGTTTGTTTTCTCCTTAAACAGTTACATATAATTATCAGTCTGTACTTGTCTATAGAAGCCTCTTCAAGAATATTTTTAGAATTTTAAGTCTCCTTCTAAGAATTGTACGTCATTTGGTTTTCTAACGTTAATAACAACCATATACGAATACAAATAAATATTAAACTATTATTATCATTATCATAACCACGATATAACCACAGGCTGGATTTCATGACGGACTCTACGTCTCCCTCTAAACCTACCTCTAAACCCGACCACCCCTCCCAACTACCCAAAGAGAACCACTCTCCTGACACAACCAGTCAAACAACTGAGGACAACACGTCACGTGATGACGTCAGTAATTTGGATGATGATGTCACGTGTGATGACGTCACGTGTGTTACTGATAATGTCACGTGTAAGGCAGATGAAGTCACGTGTGAGACTGAAGATGTTAAACAGACAAGCACGTGCTGCGCGGCTCAGCAGAGTGAAGGGTTGGAGCTGGAACTGCAGACCTCTTTCCACGTGTGGTACCAGACTGATCTGAGTAGAGAACATGCAGAGGAACTTCTCGTCAAGCAACCTATTGGTGAGTCGGAGCTAGATCTCTCTGTTTTTTAGTAGAACCTTTGTAATGTATTTTTTTTAATAAAACAATAAACCATGGGTAACACAGTCTCCACTGTGTGCCAATAAGTAGGGTTTGCCAATAAGAATATGTTAGAATTTGGCACTTTATCTGGTTTAACATCTTTTTGTACTGTTAACTTTGATTATTGTCTTCTCGTGATTTAGAAATTAGTCTAGAACAATTAAGATGAGACTGATAACATTTAATATTTAACATGACGTAGCTTTGTTTATGAAGGAGCACATACGATAATTGCAAGTCCATAACAAGATATGACGAAAGTGCGATAATTTAGGATAATTTCTCGGAGATTTGTCCAAATTATCACATTGATCAGAGCTTGCTCGCTCAACCTGCTCGTTTATCAAGAAATCAAGAGTTCACTGGTACAGACTTGCATCATATCTGGCGTAGTTTAATTTGTAGGAATGCCCCTTTGATGTGCTCAAATTATCACCTTTGCCCTAGAAGAAGTGTACGTAATTTCCATGTTATGATTCACAACATGTGTGGGAGGTTTAGGCGACTCCTTTGTAAACTTATTTGTTAAAACCCAACTTAAAAAGTTAGACTGAGCAAAACTAGACATTAGAAGATTGGAAATAAGTAAGATTAAAATTAGTGAAATGTGAGAAATAATTTAATAATTTAATGGTTCATGATTCTGTTATTATGCTCAATTGTTAACTCTAAACTAAACTAGACAGTGTTTGCAGATTAGGCATCACGTAGATTAAAATATGTGAATGCAGAGAAATAATAATCTTAATCTGGGTTTCAAATACTATATATAGTACTATATATACTATATATACGACTCAACTGTAGATTATGTAATTCTCGGTTCCGTTATGATGCAAAAGGTACTTAAGATATGGTGTTATCAGTAATGCACGTCAATGCAATTCATTTCCTTTGTCAGCTGATAAGTTAGACACTTGAACAGGACCTAGAGATTAAGGGCTTACATTATTTGACGGTCTCTCCATCAGTAAAATGAATTCTGGGAAATAATTTGATGGTCAAAGATTGTGCAATGATGCAAGGGGTACTCAAGATATGGTGTTACCCGTAATTGACGTCAATGTGATAATCTTGGCAATTCATTTTCCGTGTCAGTTTATTGATAACCGTGACACTTAATATGGATTTAGACTTAGAGACTAGAAGCTTTCTTTCTTGGCGGTGTCTTTGACAGTAGCACTGAATTCTGGGAAATAATTTTAAGATTGTGCAATGATGCAAACTGCAAGGGTACTCACTACTCAAGGTACAGACTCAATAAAGTTATCAGTATTTGACGTATGTGTTGAAATCTTGGCAATTTATTTCCTGTTTCACTGTCAGTTAGTAAATTACCTTGACACTTTAACAGGGCCTGCAGAGCGACTAGAAGTCTAAATTTTAGGGTGGGTCCTCATGCGGTATAGGTTCTAAGTTTTTCTAAATCTGGTTTTGCTTCCGCTTTTGACCCAACATCTTAACACTTTCTCTTTTCAGGAACGTTTTACATCAGAGGCAGCAGCAAGCTGGACCACTACGCACTGAGTGTTCACATTAGTTACACAGCCCCCTGTGTGGAACACTATCTTGTACATGATCACAATAACGGTTAGTTTCACTTTCACTTTCACAATGACGGCCTGACGGGTAATTAGACTTTCAGTTAGTTTTATATTCAATAATAAAGTTTACCTTTTTTGAGTGCTCTTAGCAGTGCTCAGTTTGTTTATTTCTAATACGATATTCTCACGACACTGATAATTTTCACTTTCACTTTCACTTTCATAAATCTATTAAAATCTCCTTCCTTCAGTGTTACAGATGGAGAACTCAAGCGCCAAGTTTCCCAGTTTTGTAAAGCTTCTGGCTTTCTTCGCTAACAGTCGGACCTATTCGGCAACGTAAGTTATTTGACAAATTATTTCAGTTTTATTTAAACTTGATTTAGTCGAAAGTTACATTTTTAACTTATATTTTAATTTTTTTAAACGTTTGTTGAGTTATTTTTCACGCTTTAAATCTGATCTCATTGTTGAGTTTTAAAAAGTTCAATTTTTAAACCACAATGAATATCGGTTTCACTTCAGCTCACCTTTTATTTTCAGTTATAAATTTATTACACATTCAATAAAGTCAACATTCAACACTGTCTATTCTTAAAAAGTAAAATAGCACTTATTAAATCTATTATTAACCTTTAAAAAGCTCATTCGTCAAACTGACGCTCCGCAGCAGACCTAACCCATAAATTTAATTGAAATTTGGCACAATTCCAAGGTTTCTTGTTAAGTAATTCTTCACAACCCCCCTGTGTCCTGTCGTATTTTAGTACTTGTAGCGGTAGTTCTTCTTGCAGTGGTATTCCTCGTATCTTAGTGCTCTCTGTAACTGATGTTCTTGTATCTTACAGCTCGCTGCAGTCGCAGATTCCTTAATTGTTCTAAGATCCGCGTCTGTAAGCTCGATTTATGAGAGTTGTACTTTTTTATACGGCCTCGTATCACTGTTGTTAGTGAGTGTCACTTGTAAGCGAGTCAGTGATCCTTTACAGATTATCTAATTTTGTTCTAACACTTTAATTAAACTATTTTGTTGTAGGTTGTAATAATAACGTACAATAGTTTAAAACTTTAGGGCGGCCGGTGGATGTTAGGTGTTGGCCCGTAATCCCCAATATTCTGCAGCAATCTCGTTTTGTCACCAAGTTAACAATCCTGTTCATGTCTGTCCAACCGTTCCGAGATATTTTAACTAGGGTTCTCACCCCATTTCAACACTTTGCGCCCTAATGCCATCAGTTATTAGGTGATAGACTAGTGTCTACCAATAATAGCCGCCGGGTACCACACTAACCAGGCTTGTTACCATAGTAACCAAGGTTGTAGCCATGGCAACAGGGGTATTCTAGTCACCCTGTTATCACTTCATTACTTCTGGCGTCAGTAGAAATAAGTGTGAAGCCATGGTAGTGGTGCGTTTAGCTACTGTCTCAAGTAACTCGGCTATTTATTGGTTATGTCAGGGCGCGCACTTGAAAAACTTAGTCGTCACCTTACTGAAGCAATGTTGTTAAAATCTCAGTGTTCCTTAAATTATGCCGACATGTTTTTGTTGTAATATTGAATGAATTATCTATAAGAATTAATCACGCATTTAGTTCAGCCCAGGTTGCTGATTTCTGTTAAAGTTTTAATAAGTTTTTACCAAGCAGGTCAACTGCGTAACCTGAGAAGCCTTGTTACATGTCTTGGAGGGTTTAACTTAATTTATATTATATATATATTATGTATATCAGTAATCAGAGCACGCATTTATACGTGGTGCTCCACTTTTTGCGGTATACTTTATGCTTAATTTGTTATGTATTTACACGGTTAAAAGCTCTCAAAATATACAACATCGTCAAGCAACTTTACATAGTCGTTCGTAAATATCTTGCGAGATTCATGTACAAATGACATACTCTTTCATAAATATCCTTGTCTCTCACTTCCGCTATTTCTGTGTCTCATTCCGCTAATTTCTACGGAATTTCCACCGCCCAGTATTCCTCATACCGGTTCAAACAAATTTGTTAAAATATTTGACATTTCTGCGCAGTTTACTGTCTGTATTGCTGCGTGATTAATTGAAGCGGCTGTAGTGAATTAGCACCATTTCTCTTACCGTTTATTATTTTTACGTTTATCCGATTCAGTGAACACTGTTCAATTTATAATTCGCTTTTCGTTTAGTTTTAGTTGGCTTCCCTCAACAATAAGACGTTTTGACAAAAATTAGGGAAGTTTTAAAAACTTGTGCTGTTAAAACTAAAAACCGCAGCTTCAGAGTCCTTCTATTTATATGCGCGGCTCCCGGGGTCTTCCAAAAATTCAGACTTATCAGCCTCGTCAGGTATTATTAAATCTAACCTTAAAAAGCACTTGCTATCCCTCCAAAATCGAGGTGACCCTAATATATGGTAACTAATCTATATTATATCTCAAATTCTACATCTGGTACGGCTCTGCACACATGATATCTCTCTCTGCCATGAAACATGGCTAACCTTTCAAACTATGATTTAAAACATAAACCTAAACTAAAACTCAACTGGGCTCTCCTATGTCACCAAACTAGACCAATAAGCAATTTTAGCTTAGATAATTATATTTTTCTATATTTGTATAATAAGTATTATATTGACGTAGTGGATGGTTGAGGGGGTTTCAAGCGCAGGTCACTCTCAAATCCTAAAGATAAGCAGTGGCCTTCGGAGGTTCTTCAAACCTCCCCTGATTTATTTATTATTGATATTGTTTGATTGTGCCGTAAAAATAAATATTTGTTTTATTAAATATTTGTTTTATTAAAAATAAACGGACTCAGATAACGTTTGCTCCTCCGTAAGTACATCTTGTTACACCCCATTGATTCCTGGTAATAATTTGTATTACTTCTCTAAGTATCAGCTAGCTGTGTCTCACATGAGTCTAGTTCACTGGATATTGTCCTTGCTGCCCGCTCTCCAGTCTGGCAAATGATGCGGGTCTGTTTGTGTGTAATTACTAATTGTTGCCGACTATTCCTCACGAGTCTGTCATTGTTGCCGACTATTACTAATTTGCTATTATTTGTTGACGACTCACCAGTTATCAGTATGTCATTGCTGGCTACTCATAAGCCATCAAGTTGTCATATTTGCCGGCGCTCAATACCTACTTATTGGTTTGTCATTGTCACCCAAACTGTTCTGAGCGTGTAACTCAACATTCCTCCCTCCACCTTCTAACCTCTTTGTATGGGGATGTATTAGTATTACAACAATTAAAATGTGGCAAGGCCTGATCCACAAAGCCTCCAAAATTCCTGTAAAATTCCTGTAAAATTCCTGTAAAATTCCTGGAACCCTTGTAACTAACCCAGTTAAAAGTGCCACATACTACAGGACGCTTTATTGAGGACGCTATATTGAGAGATACATTATTACTCACTTCCTGGACTATGTGTCCGTTGCCCTGCTAATATCCCAGTCACTAGACCTGACTTTATGAACCCATGGAATGCTCACATTTATAGTTTGATAATAACAATCTGGCGCTTAAACGGCCTTAATTTGCCCTTCTTCGTTCAAATTCCAAGTTTTAGTTACTGAAGTTGACTCTTGATTAGTTGCTCTGTGAAGGCTAACTCCCCGTGATCTAACTGTTTCACAATTGTACGGGTAAACACAGTCTCCCCTCTCAACCAGCTCTGGAATGCTCAGTTAGTTCCTCCAGTCTACCAGCCCTGCTCTCTCACTAACACGCTGACAGATAACATAACATCACGTGTCCGCTTTTTGTTGAGTCCTCGCCTTTTTTATTGGCTTTTTTGACTTGACTTTCGGACGTTTTAAAGTATCTCGTATTTTTTCTGGCTCTGGTTTAGACTGTCCGTTTTGATGTTTTCTGTTGTTTTAAAACTTTGGTAAGGTCTCTGATACTATATTGTCAGTGGAATAAAAGTGCTATTCTTATATTGATAAGTGTAGTATAGCACCTTATAACTGTTGTTGATTGCACATATTATGTATTATCATAGATTTACTATGTGACCATTATCCTTAAATATTTCATCACCAGGAATCACCCTCGCACCAACAGCTATAAAATTGTAAGGATGCTGGAATATTATTCCCTCTTACCTTATAGTTGACAGTCAGTAATCTGGTAATCGTGCTCTTTGGTGTGTTATTATGTGCTCCTTCATCAACATTATTGTGCTGGAGAAGTCTATAACGTGTGTCTTTTACCGGATTTTAGTTGTGTCTTAAGTCTTGATGTTTCATCACCTGGACGAATTGACAATATTGTCTGTTATAAACGAGAATATCGGCAACATGGGATTGATGGAGTTTGAGCATAATTTTTTGTTGCCAATAATAATGTTGATGAAGGAGCACCTGTTGGCAACGTCTTTTATTGCGCCGGGGGAAGCCGAAAAGGGTGAAATTTTTCCGGGTTTCGTGTCGATTTTTTATCGCCTTAATTTATTGTCTGCCCATCACTGGGTATAACATGTTCTTTATCACGACTTGATTTAACAATTTGTCATTTATAAACTGAGAAGCGGGAAACACAGTGCCTTTGGTTTGTCGGTCCGCGCGGTGGCAGCTTTTAACCGACGTCATTTTACGTCATTATTAGACAATTTCGATGGATCTAGACCTCCGCTTCCTTGATAAAATTGATGAAGGAGCACCTGTTTATATTGTTCTAGACTTCCTTTACTATAATTTCACGGCCGTTTGTCGACATTACTTGATTACTTATATTCGTCATTATTAATTTCGTTAAGTTGACGTTGTAACGCAAGTGACCTGCGGTCGATATCAGTTACTCCTTCATAAAACATATAGTTGGTAACCTACTCCCTTCACTTTCTTCAAGTCTCCTGAAAATATTTGTATATCCCGAAACTGTATTTACAATCTTCTACTCTACTTAAGGTCGCGTCACCGAAATTTGCTCTTCAAATTTAAAATTTTTTTTTTTTAATTTAATTAAAATTGGCTCTTCCTGTTTCCGTTTCCATTCCCCCAGATAATTCTACCACAATCATTAAAGTTCCCTATATTATTCGCCTCTTGTCTCCTTGAACTTCTTTGTGGTTATAATTGGACAGAATATATGTATAATTTTTAAAGATCTTTTACTTTCCTGAGCTGGATAATATCACCAAATTAGATTACTATTAGTTCGAATTGTATCTGTGTTAAGTGGGTAAGTGTTTGTTCTCGAACAATCATTACATTTACGGCTGTTGATCTGCTCGTTCTTAAACACATTGTCTGCCACTCTTGACGCCCTTCATGCCGTCACTGTCTCTTGAAAACATTATCCTGTTTTTAAACATTTGTCTGTTTTGTGGTTCACCATCC